TTGGGGAAGGAGTGTTGTGCAATGATGAGATGGTTTGTGTTTTCTTCCATTTTGGGGTGCCATAAAAGAGAGAAAGAAGGCTAAACAAACAAAAACCGTGTTGCCGTCTCTAACTCCCGGCAACCCTGTGTGTTACAGAGCAGAACTGTGCTCCATAGGGCTTTTTTTTTTTTTTTTTTGGACTTTAAATGAAGATTTACAGAACAGAATAGTTTCTCAACAAACAGTACACATATTGCCCTATGACAACGGTTAACAACCCCATGACATGTCAACACTGTCTTTTCTCAACCTTGGGTTCCTTATCACCAGCTTTCCTGTCCCTTCCTGTATGGCAACTTTTTTGTTTTGTTTTATTTTGTTTTGGTTATTGCTGGCAACAAAATCTTTTTCTTTTCCTTTGTCTTAAAATGTCTTGATTTTCCATTCATTCCTAAAGGATATTTTCACTTTATACAGAACTCATGGTTGACAATTCTTTTCTTTCAGCACTTGAAAAAATGGTGTGCCACTTCCTTCTGCCCTCCCTGGTTTCTGATGAGAAATCCACTGTCATTTGAATTGTTATTCCCCTATAGTGAAGGTTTCTCTCATTGCTTTCAAGGTTTTTTGTTTTTTTTTTTTTTTTTTGTCTTTAATTTTCATAAGTTTAACTCTAATTTTGCTGGGCATTGATTTCTTTGAGTTTAATACTATTTGGTGTTTGCTCAGCTTCTTGAATTTGTAGGTTTGTTTGTTTTGATTTCTTTTGCTAATTTAGGGAATTTTTCAGCCATTATTTCTTAAAATAACTTTTTAGGCCCACACTCTTTCTCCTCTCCTTCAGGGACCCTGATGACATGAATGTTACATATTTTCTTATAGTCCCCACAGGTCCGTGAAGCTCTGCTCATTTTTTTAAAATCCATTTTCTGTTATTCAGATTAGGTACTTTCTATTGTTCTATCTTCAAGTTTACTGATTCATTCCTCCATCCTCTCCATTCTGCTTTTTGCCCATCCATTGAGGTATTTTGTTTTGTTATTGTGCTTTTCAATTCAAAAATGTCCATTTGGTTTCTCTTTATGTCTTCTATCTCTTTGCTGAGATTTTCTGCTTTTTATTTGTTTCAATAGTGTTCATAATTTCTTGTCAAAGCATTTCATGATGGCTGCTTTAAAATCCTTGTCAGATAATTTTAACATCTCTGTCGTCTTGGTATTGGAATCTATTGATTGTCTTTTCTCAGTCAAGATGAGATTTTCCTGGTTCTTGGAATAATGAGCAATTCTCTATTGAAACTTGGACATTTTGAATATTATGCTATGAGACTTTGGATCTTATTCAAGTCTTCTGTTTTAGCAGGGCTCCTCTGATAATGATCCAATAGGGGAAGTAAGAGTGCTGCCTTGTTACTGCCAGATGGGGATGAAAGTCCAGATTCCTCATTCAGCCTCTGTTGACACTGGTGAGGGGAGGAGCTCTTTATTCCTGCTAGATGGAGTGGGGGTATTCTGGCTCCCTATTAGGCTCCCCCTGATATTTCCCTAACTGGGATGGGGAGGAATGTCTCATTACTGCTCTCCACATGGCCTCCATTGACACTGTGTAGGGGAGGGTGGCCTAATTTCAACTGGGCGTGGATAAAGGTCCTGACTCTCCACCAGGACTCCTCTGACACCACCCCAGAGGGGAAGAGGAGTGGTATCTCATTACTAGTGGATACGAGTGGAAGTTCAGGCTCCCCATGCGGTCTCAAACTGACACCACCTTGTTTGTGGCTTTGTTACTGCCCAGTGGGAATGAAAATGCCATCTCCCCACACTGCCTGCTGTGACACCAACGCAGTGAGGAAGAAGGTTGGGGCACCTCGTTAGAACCTGGTGAGGGTAGAAATATAGGTGCTCCTCTTGGCCTTTGATTTTTTGGGTGGGAGTGGGTTCACAGTTTTTTCTGTGGTGTTTAGCTGTAGTGGAGTGATTATTGTCTAAAATAGTTCTGTCTTGCTAGGCTGCCCCTTTCTTGGTCCTTTGATTAGAGAGAGTCAACTTCTCTTGGGGCTTTTTTTTTTTTTTTTTTTTTTTGTCTATACCTATTGGTGTTTCTGGGTTACTTGCTTCTCCAACATCAAATCTGGGATATCTGAGGCAAAAGAAAAACCCAGGGAACTCATTGTTGTGCCATTCATCAGGTCCCAAGGTCCCTAGCCAGTCTCCTTTCTTCTTTTCGCCTTTCAGAGTCTTATATTTATTTTATATATAATGTCCAGGGTTTTTAATTATACTTAGTGGAAGGAATAAAGAAAATTATTTCTACTCCATCTTTCCAGAAGTGGAAGTCATCTTATTTTTTTAAATCATTTTTCTTTGAAGAATGACTTTAATCTGTGAAATGGTTTTCTCCCTGCTCTTTAAAATTTGAGATGGTTCTATACTTTGAAGTTAAACTTAATCAGTATTATCTTCTTCTCACCTCAGGCAAAACCTTTGCACTTGGCAGCACATTTAGGGAGATGTATTTTATTTTTTAAAGGTTGATCGTCTCATCTCTTCCAATCTTTTAAATAAAGAATAAAAGTAAATGTGAGAATTTGAGGGTAGAATTCTGTCTTATGAGAGAGGTGATACTTCATCACAGAAAAAAAATAGACCCTTGTTCTAAACACCTAACTATGTTCTCTTAGACAATATTGCTTGGGTTACTTAAGCACATTATTGACAAGATGTCCTGAATCACTGTTATAATACTGCCATACCAAAAATAAAATTGCTAATAATTTTACCGATAGCAACAGAAAACTAAGATTACTGTCACTTATATTGCATATTTTCAAATGTTAGTTAAAATAAACTATCAGTTGTTTTTTCCCTCCAGATGAGGGGGATGTCTGATAAGTCACTGCGACTAGTGCTGTCCACATTCAGCAACATACGGGAGGAGCTTGGACATCTTCAAAATGACTTGACAGTAAGATTTACTTTAATTTTTCTTTCTACAGCCTTTCTAATTCCTAACTTCCTAACACAGAAATCAAGCCATTTGGTCTGCTTTAAAAAAAATTTTTTTAATACAACACAACAATATTCATGTTAAGCCAGACATAGCTAAATCATTTTTATGAAACAGTTAATTAGGGTAAAGGAGTGAGAAGAAAGCATCTGTCCAATGTGTAAACAAAAGCATTTTGGATGTACACTTAATATTTGAGGTTATCATTAAGGTAATTTAATACTTAAAGCGAGGAAATAGCTTGCAAAATTGGAATAATCTGAGCCATTGAATAGGAATTTCACCCTTTTCTGTAATAATAAAGCATACTCTGAATTTCTCTTCAAACATACTAACTTGAAAACTTCTCTCCAAGAACTTAACCTTTTCTATTCTCTATTTTAATTGGTGCTCTTGTTGCCATCATGTAGGTACATTTAAAATGCTTTCCATACAATGAATAACTCCTTGAGTACTTTGGAGTGAGTTTTTTGTTTCTGGGTTCTGATGAACACATTTAGACTCTAATTTGAAAATTAATCACCTGCTGGGATTAACAAGGGGTCTTTGTAGGCTGGAGGAAAACATTAAAATAATTCAAAAGGTTCTGCTTCTTTGCACTTAGAGTTAGTCAGTCGATCAAAATGTCTCTTTCAATGTAGGTTTTTAAAGTTTTCAGTCTTTTTCTATTCCATAATTTGCTTAACTTTTAAGAATCCTGTTTAATTATGCAACTACAAATGAGCCAAGTGTTTATTTACATTTTCCAACATAAAGCAAATCTTTATATTATGCAACTGTTGACAAGTTTCTGTAACTCTGATTCATAACAAATACTTATACTTCTAGTCACTGGAAAATGACAAGTTAAGACTTGAGAAAGACTTGGCTTTCAAAGAAACTCAAATAAAAGAGTATGAAGAACTTTTGGCATCAGTGAGAGCAAATAATCGCCAGCAGCAGGTAAGCGGATGTTTTCACTGATGATAAATAGATTTATAACTTTTCACATGCACAATTACTGGCACATTGGAGTTATAAAAATACAATCCAGAAAATTAGAATTAAAATAAGATGGAATCATTAGTTCATATGAGAATTGAGTGGTTTTGAGTATTTTCAAAGACTGAAAGCCCTCTAAAAAAACAGATTGCTGTTGTTAGGTCCCATCGAGTAGGTTCTGACTTGTAGCCACCTTATGAACAACAGAATGAAACATTGCCCGGTCCTGCGACATCTTCACAATTGTTGCCATATTTGAGCCCACTGTTGCAGCCACTGTGTTAATCCATCTCATTGAGGGCCTTCCTCTTTTTTGCCGACCCTCTACCTTACCAAACATGGTGTCCTTCTCCAGGGACTTGTCCCTCCAAATAACATGTCCAAAGTACACGAGACGTAGACTCACCATCCTCGCTTCCAAGGGACACTCTGGCTGTACTTCTTCCAAGACAGACTTGTTCGTTCTTCTAGCAGTCCATGGTATATTTAATATTCTTCACCAACACCATAATTCAGGGACATCAATTCTTCTTCAGTCTTCCTTATTCACTGTCCAGCTTTCATATGCATATGAGGCAATTGAAAATATCATGGCTTGGGTCAGATACATGTTAGTCCTTAAAGTGACATCTTTGCTTTTTAAAATTTTAAAGAAGTCTTTTGCAGCAGATTTACCCAGTGCAATATATTGTTTGATTTCCTGACTGCTCCTTCCATGGGCTTTGACTGTGGATCCAAATAAAATGAACTCCGTGACAGCTTCATTATTTTCTCCATTTATCATGATGTTGCTTATTGGCCCAGTTGTGAGGACTTTTGTTTTCTTTATGTTGAGGTATAATCCATACTGAAGGCTATAGTCTTTGATCTTCATCAGTAAGTGCTTCAAGTCCTCTTCACTTTCAGCAAGCAAGGTTGTGTCATCTGCATATTGCAGATTGTTAATGAATCTTCCTCCAATCCTGATACCGCATTCTTCTTCATATAGTCTAGCTCCTCAGATTATTTGCTCAGCATACAGATAAATAAATACGGTAAATTGATACACCATGACAGATAACCTTATGTATTTTAGATACAAAGTATATACAATGTACAATTATCTGTGTTGTTGAGTGACACGAATTGTATAAATACCAAAAGTCTAGGTTCACTCATTCATCCGGTCTACTACCATGTCAACAAAAAAAAATTTTGTGGCCCTCAAAATGTGTTTTTGCAATGAATAAATGAATGAATGAACTCTAGAGGAGTTCTCCAGATATCTGAGCAGAGATGATTCCTAGGAAATTGCAATGAGTCTCTAAGGCTCACCCTTTCCTAATCTTCACTCCCAGGACTGTCCCAAATTCTTGTTTAGTTTCCAATTGTTACATAAATAATCAGGCATATGGTCATTTTGGTGTTACTGTACTGTCAAAGAGTAGCAGGAATCAGATTGCTAAACAGGATATTGAAAATGCATCTAGTCTTGATTCCTTCTTGTACAAAATAGGCAAGTGAGACTAGGGGCAAGAATGTAATATCTTACATTGCTGATTCAACTTACCATCTAGGTGCAAGTATATAAGAAAACTGGACATGGAAAAATATTTGCTTGATTTGACTGAATGAATCAACCAAAAGAGTACCCTTACCCCCTAAAAAAGTAGAATGATTTGTCATAACTTCTTGTGTCTTCCTTACAGCAAGGACTTCAAGACTCAAGCTCAAAATGCCAGGCATTGGAAGAAAACAATCTCTCTCTTCGACATACACTGTCAGACATGGAATATAGACTAAAAGAACTGGAATACTGTAAACATAATTTAGAACAAGAGAATAAAAACCTTAGAATACAGGTATTAAAATTTTGTAGTATATGTATATGTATATATGTATATATATACGTTAATCTTAAGGAAATACTTGAACTGCTTTCTGATGGGCTCACGCCCAGTCAGGTCTTATCTCACTGACATTTGTGCTGTATATTGTGCTTCCTGAAAATCACTTTCATTATTTCAATGTCTTATTTAATTATATATTTTTCATCTAATAGTAAGTCTTATAAAATGTATTTCATTCGTAACAACCCAATTACAGAAAGTTATTTTGTCTTGTGTAGATTTCTGAAACTTGCACAGGCCCAATACTGCAGGCTAAAATGGATGAGATTGGCAGTCATTACATGGAGATGGTAAAAACTTTGAGACTGGAGAAAGATAGAGAAATCTCCAAACTAAGGGTATGTTTATCTTACAGTGCATAAATACGCATGTCAGCGCAAACTTTCTAACAAGATAATGATGGTTTCAAGTTTAAAGCTACAAATAAAAAAAAAATCCAATTGAAGGTATCGTTTTAGGAATATGCCATGGAATAGTTTGCTTTAAATGTGTACAGAATATTAGCACTAAACTGTTTTCTAATTTTGCTTAATCTTTTCTAGGAAAGTAAAAGAAGACATTAAGTTCACTGTGTTTTGTCTTTTTGAGGGGTGGGGGAGGGGTTTATGATCCCTACCTAAAGCATGCTTATACAGACAAGAGCAACATTCTAGATTATCCAGAAAAGCCACAGTTGTATTCATAAAAATCCACACTTAACTTTGAAGGATGATATATATCAAGGACTTTTTCGAACAAGAGAATAAAACAAGGAACTGTGTTGAATTTTATGTACCTGTAAATGGCAGCAAAATTAGGATGATATTTGCTAGAATAAGTATACATTGCCTTATTTTGTAATTCTAGGTTGAATTGACTTGGTCCAACCCATTAATTTGTTGATTTCTGAATGTAGTCAAATATAGTTAATTATTTTAGTGGACAAACTAACCCCAAATTTTTTACGTACAAATATCCCTGTACAATCTTTACCAAAACAAAACAAGAAGAAGCATAATTTGTTCAAAAGTCTACAAAGTTCTTCTAGCAGATTTCATCCACTAGTTCCTTTTTAATCCCCAAAGTACTAATAATACTTAACCTAATGCCCATCTATGTAAACATAATGTGGTAAAGTAGAAAATGGACAGGATTTGGAGTCAGAAGATCTGTCTTGGAGTTGCAGCTATTTTACTTACTAACCATGTGACTTTGGGTCACTTAACCTCTCTGGAACTCATTTACCTGTTTTCTAAATGAGGATTGTAACAATGCTTTACTCACAGGGCTGCTGTGAGGACTGAAATAAGGCATGCAGGAGGAATATTTTGTGCACTTCAAATCACAATTTAATATTAGTTATTAGTACTGGGTTTTCCTTCATTTGAAGGAATCTTAAGTTCCTTTTTTCTTAACTTTATTTTAATTCTTGTGGCCTAGGACTGTTACTTAGGTAATGCCTACCTCAAAAGAGCAAAGGTATCTTTCAAAAAATGGAAAAATTCCTAATTGGTATTTCAATCTATGTTTTACATTCACAAAATTCTATAAAAGGTCATAATTATTGGTATTTTTTTTCTTCATTTCATAACTAGCTGTGTGACTTTGTATCACTTAACCTCACTGGAATTCAGTTTCCTAATTTGTAAATGAAGATTACAATAATACTAATTTCTTTTTTATTTTTTAATAGCACCTTTATTGAGGCATAATTCACATAACATGCAATTCACCCATTTAAAGTGTACAATTAAATGATTTTTAGTATAGTCACAGAGTTGTACAACCATCACCACAATCCATTTTAGAACATTTTCAGCACCCCAGAAGAGAAGTCCCATGCTTATTAGCAATGGCTCGCCATTCTACACACACTCCTCAACCCCTGTCAAGTATTAATCTACTTTCTCTATACATAGATTTGCCTATTCTGGAAATTTTGTGTAAATGGAATCATATAATATGTGACCTTTTGTGACTGGCTTCTTTTACTTAGCATGATGTTTTCATGGTTCATCCATGTTGTAGCATGTATCAGTATTCCTTTTACGGCCAAATAATATTCCTTTGTATGGATATACCACTATGTGTTTATTCATTCATCAGTTGATGGACATTTCGGGTGTTTCTATTTTTTGTCTACTTTGAATAATACATACATTTCTGTATAAGTTTTTATGTGGACATATGCTTTCATTTCTCTTGGGAGTGGAATTTCTGAGTTTATCCTTTCAAGGAACTGCCACGTTGTTTCCCAAAGTACTTGCACCATTGTACACTCCCGTCAAGAGGCAGTACTTTCTTTTTAACTTTGTTGTGGTGAAATATATATAACAAAAAGTTTTCCATTTTAACCTTTTTTAAATGTACAGGTCGGTGACATTAATTACATTCACCATGGTGTGTGTACCATCACCACTATCCATTTCCAAAAGTTTTCCATCACCTCAAACAGAAACTCAATAAACCTTCAGCAATAACTCTCATTTCCTCTTCCCCTAGCCTCTGGTAACCACTAATAACCGTTCGTCTCTATACACTTGCTTATTCTAGATATTTCATGTAAGTGGGATCATACAATATTTATCCTTTTGTCACTGACTGGAGTCCTGGAGCGCAGTAGTTAAGAGCTGTGGTTGTGTCATATACATATCTCAGGTTGTTGATGAGTCTTCCTCCAATCCTGATGCTACGTTCTTCTTCATATAGTCCAGCTTCTCACATTATTTGCTCAGCATACAGATTGAATAAGTATGCTGAAAGGATACAACCTTGACTCACATCTTTCCTGATTTTAAACCAGGCAGTATCCCCATGTTTTGTTCAAAAGACTGCCTCTTCGTCTATGTACAGGTTCCTCATGAGCACAATTAAGTGTTCTGGAATTCCCATTCTTCACAATGTTATCCATAATTTGTTATGATCCACACAGTCAAATGCATTTGCATAGTCAATAAAACACAGATAAACATCTTTCTGGCATTCTCTGCTTTCAGCCAAGATCCCTCTAACATCAACAATGATGCCTTTCGTTCCACATCCTCTTCTGAATTCAGCTTGAATTTCCAGCAGTTCCCTGTCAATGTACTGCTGCAACCATTTTTTAAGTATCTTCAGCAAAATTTTACTTGTGTGTGGTATTAATGATATTGTTCAATAATTTCCACATTCTGTTGGATTACCTTTCTTTGGAATGGACACAAGTATGGATATCTTCTGGTTGGTTGGCCAGGTAGATGTCTTCAAAATTTCTTGGCAGAGATGAGTGAGCACCTCCAGCACTGCATTCGTTTGTTGAAACATCTCAGTTGATATTCTGTCAATTCCTGGAGCCTTGTTTTTAACCAATGCCCTCAGTGCAGCTTGGACTTCTTCCTTCATTACTATTGATTCTTGATCATATGCTACCTCCTGAAATGATTGAACATTGACCAATTCTTGGTACAGTGACTCTGTGTATTCCTTCCATCTTCTTTTGATGCTTCCTGAGTCATTCAATACTTTGCCCATAGAATCTTTCAAAATTGCAGCTCAAGGCTTGAATTTTTCTTCAGGTGTTTCAGCTTGAGAAATGCCAAGCATGTTCTTCCCTTTTGGTTTTCTAACTCTAGGTCTTTTCACATTTCATTATAATACTTTACTTTGTCTTCTCAAGCCGCCCTTTGAAATCTTCCGTTCAACTCTTTTGTCATCCTTTCTTCCATTTTCTTTAGCTGCTTTAAGTTCAAGAGAAAGTTTCAGAGTCTCTTCTGACACCCATTTTGGTCTTTTCTTTCTTTTCTATCTTTTTAATGAGCTTTTGGTTTCTTCATATATGATGTCATCCCACAACCCGTCTGGTGTTCGGTCATTAGTGTTTAAATCTTTTCTTGAGATGATCTCTAAATTCCATATAGATATACTCAAGGTCATACTCAAGGCTTTCATAGACTAGTTTTAATTTTGTTTGGTTTCAACTTGAACTTGCATATGAGCAATTGATGATCTGTTCCGCAGTTGGCCCCTGGCCTTGTTCTGACTAATGATATTGAGCTTTTCCATTGTCTCTTTCCACAGATGTAGTCAATTTGATTACTGTGTTTTCCATTTGGTGAGGTCCACAAGTATAGTTGCCATTTATGTTGCTGAAAAAAGGTATTTGCAATGAAGAAGTCGTTGGTCTTGCAAAATTCTAGTATTCGATCTCTGGCATTGTTTCTATCACCAAGGCCATATTTTCCAACTACCAATCCTTCTTCTGTGTTTCCAACTTTTGCATTCTAATCACTGGTAATTATCAATGCATCTTGATTGCATGTTTGATCAATTTCAGACTGCAGAAGTCGGTAAAAATTTTCAGTTTCTTCTTCTTTGATGTTAGTGGTTGCTAAGTAAATTTGAATAATAGTCACACTAGCTGGTCTTCCTTGTAGGTGTATGGATATTATCCTATCACTGACAGTTTTTTACTTCAGGATAGATCTTGAAATGCTCTTTTTGATGATGAATAGGATGCCATTCCTCTTTAATTTATCATTCCCAGCATAGTAGACTATATGATTGCCTGTTTCAAAAATGGCCAATATCAGTCCATTTCAGCTCACTAACACCAAGGATATTGATCTTTCTGTGTTCCATTTCATTTTTGATGACTTCTAATTTTCCTAGGTTTATACTTTGTACATTCCATATTCTGATTATTAATGGATATTCACAGTTGTTTCTTCTCATTTTGAGTTGTACCACATCAGCAAATGAAGGTCCTAAAAGCTTTACTCCATCCACATCATTAAGGTCTACTCTACTTTGAAGAGGTAGCTCTTCCCCAGTCATATTTTGAGGGCCTTCCAACCTGAGGGGCTCATCTTCCAGCACTATATCAGGTTTTCACTGGCCAGTTTTTTCAAAACTAGACGACCATGTCCTTCTTCCCAGTCTTTTTTAGTCTGGAAGCTCCGCTGAAACCCGTCCACCATGGGTGACCCTGCTGGTATTTGAAATGCCGGTGGCATAGCTTCCAGCATCACAGCAACATGTAAGCCACCACAGGAAGACAAACTGACAGACGCCTGGTGGGATGCTATCATAATAATGCTAATTCCTTTCTAAATCCTTAGACCCAATTAAACCAGTACCAAAAGGATGTTTCTAGAAGAGAGGGACATTGCAGTGATTTCCAATTCAAGCTTCGTGAACTGACAAGCTCTCTGGAAGAGAAAGACTCCCTTATAAAACGTCAGTCAGAGGTAAGAAAGAAAGTGGTAGATGTGGAAAGAAAAAAATTGACTCAAATCTGTAACAGATACTTCCCATGAGCTAAAAAAAGATACAGTTCCATGACTCACTTTATTACATGAAGTAGAATGTAAGTACTTGTGAAGAAGTAGAAGGTTCATACTTCAAGAGAAATAATTCAAATAAAAGCTAGAATTAAAGCAGAAAATAAGTGCTATTGTACATTGCATATTTTTAAGACATTAATTTTATATCTCATTAGCAGTGGAACTACCAGTAAGACTGTGAGCTCATTACTACATTATGAGCCATTTCAACAGGGAACTGTGTTATATTCTTCCCTTACATAGCCCGGTATCTAATATGCAGGAGATACTGAAGGAACTACCAAAGAATGGTGTTTCATGTTATACTGCTGTTATTGAACAAATGGTGCTTTAATAAATTCCAGTGGTAGGCTTTTGGTTAGGAATCAACAACTGCTCCATATTTAAGCTTCAATACTTTTGTGCCATTGCCATACTTTCAAGTGTTTTAGGACAAAACTTTCACATCTTTATCTTGAGAACCATACCTATTTGCTTTCATGTTAAACCCCGAATATAGAAATCCTCAACTAGTTACTGGATTTCTGCCCAGGCATATAGTATAACTTATTAGGTACCCTGAAACAAAACTATCTGATATTCAGCAAATGAGGTTATAACGTTCTTGCCTCAAGGCTACAAAGGAGGGAAAATTTTTTTCTTAGTAGTCATGTTAAAAAACAGAACATACTTCTTACCTCATGTTCCTACGTTTCTCCAAATAATTATGTTGTATTTATTTACAAGGAACTCTCCAAATTGAGACAAGAAATGTATTCATCTCATAACCAACTCTCCAGTGGTGGAAGGACTACTATTACCACTAAAAAGTAATGTATTTTAATAATAAAATTTGAATGTTGATTTGATTATTATATAATTCAAATTATCGCACGTTTAACTGATATACACACCCCCTAGAGAGAGTTTGGTGTTTTCTGCTGGTCAATAATTCTACTGAAGAATGAATATTCACAAAAAGAGTTTTCTGTTGTGGTCAATATAATTCTGTAGCAAACCTTTTCTGTATTAATAATATATTAAACAAAGTAATTTGTTGTTTAACAAACTGTGTTAGTCAGGTACCCAACTCAAACTGGGAGTTAATTGATTTGCTTTATTGAAATTGCTTGGAGTACATATGGATTCATGCGCTCAGATTATATCTTAAGAAATCTCTTTCCATCTCTTGGCTCCGCTCTTTTTTGTGAAGGTGTCATTCTCTGGCAGGTCTCCCCTCATGGTAGTGACATGATCACAGCTCACATTTCAGTAAATTAGCAAAACCAAACAAAAAGTGACTCTTTACAAATGATTTCAGCAAAAGTGTATTTTGGATACTTTACAGAAATGATATCATACAATACATGATATTTTTAAAAATAAGTTTTATTATAAATGTAATAAGACATTCTCATTGAAAAATGCATTTGAAAAAATGGAGAGCATCGCACATAGTCTCAATCTCCCTCAGTGCTCCCCAACTACGCTAGCATTAAAAAAATTATTGTGGTATATATATAAAACAAAACATTTGCCATTTCAACAGCTTTCACACAAATAGTTCAGTGATATTAATTGTGTTCATCATGTTGTACAACCATCAACACTATCCATTTCCAAAATTTTCCATCATTCTTTTTTTTTTTAAAAATTGCGCTTTAAGTGAAAGTTTACAGCTCAAGTTAATTTCTTATACAAAAATTTATACACATATTGTTATGTGACTTTAGTTGCAATCCCTATAATGTGTCAGCATACTCCGCCTTTCCATCCCGGGTTTCTTGTGTCCATTCAACCAGTTCCTGTCCCTTCCTGCCTTCTCATCCTGCCTCTGGACAGGAGCAGCCCATTTGGTCTCGTGTATCTGCTTGAACTAAGAAGCATACTCTTCATGAGTATTATTTTATGTTTTATAGTCCAGTCTAATCTTTGTCTGAAGAGGGGGCTTCAGGAACAGTTTTAGTTCTGGGTTAACAGAGCGTCCAGGGGCCATGGCTTTGGGGGTTCCTCCAGTCTCAGTCAGACCATTAAGTCTGGTCTTTTTATGTGAATTTGAGTTCTGCTCCACACTTTTCTCCCACCCCGCCAGGGACTTTCTATTGTGTTCCCTGTCAGGGCAGTCATTGATGGTAGCCTGGCACCGTCTAGTTCTTCTGGTCTCAGGCTGATGGAGTCTCTGGTTTATGTGGTCCTTTTGTCTCCTGGGCTGATATTTTCCTTGTGTCTTTGGTGGTCTTCATTCTCTTTTGCTCCAAGTAGGTTGGGACCAGTTAATGCATCTTAGATGGCCGATCACAAGCTTTTAAGACCCCATACGCCACTCACCATTTCCATCATTCTTTTATTTTTTTTTTATTTTTTCCCATACAAATATTTATACATACATTGGTATGTGACCCTAATTGCTCTCCCCATACTGTGACAGTTCACTCCTCCCTTCCACTCCTGATTCCCTATGTCCATTCAACCAGCTCCTAACCCTCTCTGCCTTCCCATCTCACCTCTGGACAGAAGCTGCCCACTTAGTCTCCTGTATCTACTTGAGCTAAGAGGCGCACTCCTCACGAGTATCACTTTATGTCCCATAGTCCAGTCCAATCCCTGTCTGAAGAGTTGGCCTCGGAAGTCGTTTTGGTTCTGGGCTGATAGAGAATCCAGGGGCCCTGCTTTCCAGGTTTCCTCCAGTCTCAGACCATTAAGTCGGATCTTCTTACTAGAATTTGAGTTGTGCACCCCACCTTTCTCATGTTCCATCCGGGACTCTCTGTTGTGTTCCCTGTCAGGGCAATTATTGGTGGTAGCCAGGCACCGTCTAGTTCTTCTGGTCTCAAGCTGATGAAGTCTCTGGTTTATGTGGCCTTTTCTGTCTCTTGGGTTAATACTTTCCTTGTGTCTTTGGTATTCTTCATTCTCCTTTACTCCAGGTGAGTTGGGACCAATTGATGCATCTTAGATGGCCACTTGCAAGCTGTTAAGACCCCAGACACCACTCACCAAAGTAGGATGCAGAACATTTTCTTAATAAGTTTTGTTATGCCAATTGACCTAGATGTCCCCTGAAAGCATGGTACCCAGACCCTTACCCCTGCTACTCATCCTTCAAAGTGTTTGATTGTATTTAGGAAACTTCTTAGCTTTGGTTTAGTCCAGTTGTGCTGACTTCCCCTGCAGTGTGTGCTGTCCTTCTGTTCACCTGAGATAATTCTTATCTACTATCTAGTTAGTAAATAACCCTCACCCTCCCTCCCCACCCTCATAACCATCAAAGAATGTTTTCTTCCGTGTTTAAACCTTTTCTTGAGGTCTTATAATAGTGGTCTCATACAATAGTTGTCCTTCTGTGACTGACTAAATTCACTCAGCATAATGACCTCCAGCTTCCTCCATGTTATATTTCACGACTTCATTGTTGTTCTTTATCATTGCGTAGTATTCCATTGTGTGGATGTACCACAATTTGTTTATCCATTTTTCGGTCGATGGGCACCTAGTTGTTTCCATCTTTTTGCTATTGTGAACAGTGCTGCAATAAACATGGGTGTGCATATATCTATTCATGTGATGGCTCTTATTTCTCTAGGATATATTCCAAGGAGTGAGATAGCTGGATCGTATAGTACTTCTATTTCTAGCTTTCTAAGGAAGCGCCAAAGCGATTTCCAAAGTGGTTGTACCATTTTACATTCCCACGAACAGTGTATAAGTGTTCCAGTCTCTCCACAACCTCTCCAGCATTTATTATTTTGTGTTTTTTGGATTAATGCTAGCCTTGTTGGGGTGAGATAATATCTCATTGTAGTTTTGATCTACATTCCTCTAATGGCTAATGATCATGAGCGTTTCTTCAGGCGTCTGTTAGCCTTTTTCCCCCACCCTACAACCTCTAGTAAATAATAAACTTTTAACTCTATGCATTTGCCTATTGCAGATATTTTATATAAGTGGGCTTATACAATATTTGTCCCTTTGATACTGACTTATTTCATTCAGCATAATGTTTTCAAAATTAATCCAAGTTGTAGCATATATCAGGACTTCATTTCTCTTACTGGCTGAATAATATTCCATTGTGTGTATATATGACATTTTGTTTATCTATTCATCTGTTGATAGATATTTAGGTTGTTTCCACCTTTGTCTATTTTTAATACTGCTGCAATGAACATTGGTTTACAGTATGTGTTTGAGTCCCTGCTTTCAAGTCTCTTGGGTATTTACAGAGGAGTGGAATTGCTGGGTCATATAGAATTCTGTGTTTAACTTTTTGAGGACCCTCCAAGCTGTATTCCATTGTGGCTGTATCATTTTACAATCCCACCAGCAATGGACAAGAGTTTCAATTTCTCTACATCCTTGCCAACATCTGTTGTTTTCCCTTTTTAAAAATTGTAGACATTATAGTGGATGTGATGTGATATCTCATTGTGGTTTTGATTTGCAGTTCCATAAGATAAAGAAAGAAAAGGTATCCAAATAAAAAAGGAAGAAATAAAATTATCCCTTTTTGCTGATGACATGATCCTATATATAGAAAACCCCAAAGAATCCACAAGGAAGCTACTAGAACTAATAAAGTAATTCAACAAAGTGGCAGGATACAAGGTCAACACACAAAAATCAACCAGGTTTGTATACATCAACAATTAGCATTCTGAAAAGGAAATTAAGGAAACAATTTCATTTACAGTAGCATCTAAAAGAATAAAATACCTAGGAATAAATTAAACCAAAAAAGTACAAAATGCGTACACTGAAATCTATAAATCATTACTCAAGGAAATTAAAGAAGACCTAAATAAATTGAAGGACAATCCATGTTCATACATTGGAAGACTTAGTATTGTTAAGATGTCAATACTACCCAAAACAGTCTGTAGATTCAATGCAATCCCCTTCAAAATTCTAACAACAGCCTGCTTTGTATAACTGGAAAAGCCAATCCTCATATTTATATGAAAATGTAGGGGGCTTGAATAGTCAAAGCAATCTTGAAAAAGAAGAACAAAGAGGACTCACATGCCCCAGTCTCAAAACATGCTATAAAGCTACAGTAACCAAAACAAGTCTAGTACTGGTATAATGATAGACATATAGACCAACAGAATAGAATTGAGAGTCCAGAAATAAACCTACACATCTGTGGACAATTTATTTTTGACAAAGGTGCTAAGTCCATTCAATGCAGAAAGAATAGTCTCCTTAATAAATGGTGCTGGGAAAATGGGATTTCCACATGCAAAAACATAAATCTGGACCCATACCTCACACCGTATATGAAAACTAATTCATAATGGATAAAAGACCTAAATTGAAGAACTAAAATCATAAAACTCTTAAAACAAAACATAGGGGTAATGCTTCACAACTTAATATTTAACAATAACCAAACCAAAACTCACTGCCATCAAATCGATTCTGACGCATAGTGACCCTATAGGACCGAGTAGAACTGCCCCCATAGGATTTCCAAAGCTGCAAATCTTTATGGAAGCAGGCTGCCACATATTTCTCCTGCTTAGAAGCTGGAGAATTAGAAGAGCCAACCTTTTGATTAGCAGCCAAGTGCTTTAACCACTGTGCCACTTATCTATTTAACAATTAATTCTTAGATATGACATCAAAAACACGAGCAACAAAAGACAAGATAGATAAATAGGGCTTTATCAAAATTTAAAAAATTTGTTCATCGATGGCCTTTACCAAGAAAGTGAAAAGGAAACTTACAGAATGGGAGAAAATATTTGGAAACCACATATCTGATAAAGTTTTACTTTCAAATATATGTATATATATACACACACACATATATATACTAAGAAGTTCTACA